ACAGAACACACTCTGCTCGGTCTAACCGAAATTAATAAAAGGATAACAGATGACACGTAGGCCAACATTTTCCACCCGTGTAACCAATCAAAATGCGTGTTTTATAAAATGTCAAGGTTGACGCTCCAGCAATTAGGTTACCTTATTGTTAGGTCAGAAAGCCACCGTTCTGACCATGTTCCAAAGCCGAATGAAGTGGTCGGTAACTTTTGTAAGTGACAGGAAGCTAGAGTTATGTACATTCTGAGACATAAAGCTATCTTTTGATAACGATAGGCGAATCTAAGTACATGTCGCAGTTCTTAAATACATTTACTTCCTGGCCTTCAATTAATTTGTTGTTGTTCTTGCATTTGTTCTACTGTGGTGTAAGTTTAACAAGAAGTTTGAAGAAGATAACATCGTGGAAGTCAAGAGGGGGCACCTTACCGGACCGGGTGACACCAACCTTAGCTACGCCACTGATTGTATTTGCTACCATTGCTAGTTGCTGCTGCTTTAACTAACAAAAAAAGTTTTGATTAGCAGCAGTAAATATTTTTCTGTTGAATTTTATTGGCGCATTGCTTATATTGGTAATTTTCCCCATTGTTTTATAAAAAGTTAATTAAAGAAATAAAACTACGGTAACTAAACTAGTCAAATATATCGAGCGTGGCGATATTTCATTGGTTCCACTATTTCTATAATAGTTTGTCATGATACAAACTTTATATGCTTATTTCCATTGATACTATCTACATAAAGACATGTGGCTTTTTTAAAAAAATGTCCACGGTTTGTTTTTCCAGCTTTTTTTTTTTTTACATAATTTTATTAATTTTTTTTTTCACCGAGGTTGCATTTGCTGTCTTTGAGCAAAATTTATTTAATTTGTATTTGTTTTTTTTAAACCCTTTTAGTATGAATTGTGTATGTATATAACCAATGCAACCTTTATCTTGTTTAGAGGGCCTGGGATTTTTTCCTAATGAACTTATTACAATTTTTTTGTTATTTCCACTTAGGATTTTCCATTTATCTCTGACGTCAGATGTATTATGAGGAAAAGTATTATTACCACATGCTTCAAAATTTGCAAGGTTGTTTCTATTGATATTCTCTACATAATGATTGATGTTTTTTTATTGCATATCTCATAAACAAAATTCAGAAGTTTTTATGATCTTATTATTTTTATTAGGCTCGAGGCTAGTTGGTTGTTGGAAAAATGCATTCATTTATATTCTTTCTATTATATTTATGTTCTTACATTGTTTTTTTAATTAACCAGTGGAATGTGTTCATGATGTATGCAGCCAATATTGTTCAAGTAACCCTTAATTTTTTTAATAAGCATTTTTCAGTGTCTTTTTCAGTTTTTATCGACTGGCATTTTCAATTTTTTCTGACGTAAATTGAATCAGGAGGAATAGTTTTGGAACTACATAATTGAAACTTTGCATGCTTATTTATATTGACATTCTTTACTTAATGATGGATGGTTTTTAAACAAATGTCTCATACGAAAATTTTTCAGAATTTTTTATTTATATATTTTATTTATTAGATTCGTGGGGTCGCGTTTGAAAAAGTGTGTTAATTTTTTTTCTATCTTTTTTGTCTATGTTTTCNATACTATCTACATAAAGACATGTGGCTTTTTTAAAAAAATGTCCTCGGTTTGTTTTTCCAGCTTTTTTTTTTTTTACATAATTTTATTAATTTTTTTTTTCACCGAGGTTGCATTTGCTGTCTTTGAGCAAAATTTATATAATTTGTATCTGTTTTTTTTAAACCCTTTTAGTATGAATTGTGTATGTATATAACCAATGCAACCTTTATCTTGTTTAGAGGGCCTGGGATTTTTTCCTAATGAACTTATTACAATTTTTTTGTTATTTCCACTTAGGATTTTCCATTTATCTCTGACGTCAGATGTATTATGAGGAAAAGTATTATTACCACATGCTTCAAAATTTGCAAGGTTTTTTCTATTGATATTCTCTACATAATGATTGATGTTTTTTATTGCATATCTCATAAACAAAATTCAGAAGTTTTTATGATCTTATTATTTTTATTAGGCTCGAGGCTAGTTGGTTGTTGGAAAAATGCATTCATTTATATTCTTTCTATTATATTTATGTTCTTACATTGTTTTTTTAATTAACCAGTGGAATGTGTTCATGATGTATGCAGCCAATATTGTTCAAGTAACCCTTAATTTTTTTAATAAGCATTTTTCAGTGTCTTTTTCAGTTTTTATCGACTGGCATTTTCAATTTTTTCTGACGTAAATTGAATCAGGAGGAATAGTTTTGGAACTACATAATTGAAACTTTGCATGCTTATTTATATTGACATTCTTTATTTAATGATGGATGGTTTTTAAACAAATGTCTCATACGAAAATTTTTCAGAATTTTTTATTTATATAATTTATTTATTAGATTCGTGGGGTCGAGTTTGAAAAAGTGTGTTAATTTTTTGTCTATCTTTTTTTTTCTGTTTTCAAATTGTTTTTTAATTCATGAAAGGTATATGTACATGATGTAAGCATCCTATATTGTTCATGCAGCCTGTAATTTAAAAAAAAAACATTTTTATACTTCTTTTTCATTTTTCTCAATTTTGCGTTTTCCAGATTTTTTAGGAACGCAAAGTGAATCAGGAGGAACAGTATTCTAGCTACAGGCTGCAAACTTTGCATGCTTCTTTTCATTGATATTCTTGACAAAATACAAGAGGCTTTTTTTAATATATATCCAACTAGAAAAGTTTTATAACATTTTTACATTTGCTACCCCTAAAAATTTCTCGAATATTTATGTCACCCCAAATACATGCCATTTGTAACACTTCCAATAACTGCAGTGTAATAATCTTCTTTAAACTTTTTGTCAATGTTATTCTTAATGTGTATGCAAAGTTTCATTATGATATTGCAATAAACAAATTGTTTTATTCATTTTGCGTGAAAGTCAAAATTGGTATAAAATTTTCAATTTTTTGCAATAAAAGTCACAAAATTTTTTTTTTAAATAAAATTTTGTGTTTTTTTGGCTTTCTGTTTGTGTATGGTTTGTTTGTACTATTTTTTTTTTAAATTAAGAAACATAGAAAAAAAAATTTTGACCCATGGACCACCTTAAGAATTACTTATACAAAGTCTCAACTGGATTTACTCCATGTGCTGGGGTCATAGAAGCTTCATCCCAGATTATCACTTTGACCTTTTTCAGTTCATTTGCCGCTTAAGTCCCATGTCCGAACACTGCAGGTTGATGTTTCCTTTATTGGAATAGGCAGCTTGAAATGAGTATGACTGTGGGAAGTTCTGCCTCCCTCATTTCTACAAAATTTGAAATAATTTTTTTTTTTTTTTTTTTAATAAATAATTTTTTTCCTTATTGATTTTTTTTTTAATTTTTTATTTTATTTTTTTAATTTTAATTTTTAATTTTTTTTTT